GTAAAAGATAAACACACGGATTTGCAGAGGAATTTTTATTTCTTGAGGAATCACAATACAGTAGTTGGGCGACTACTAATTTCGCTTACAAGCCATATGTCATAACATAACATATATATAGTCAGAAGAAGAAAAAACCCTAATACAATGGAAATACCCAAAAAGCGCTTCTAACTACTCGACTCGTCAGTTGTGGCTGAGTGTTCAGTATAGTCAGGCTCCACACAACTCAACATCAACTTCCTCTAAAAGCGCTTCTAACTACTCGAAACATTTTCATAAAATTAGCCAAATGAATCCAAAAACAGCTTTTAAATCTCAAAAACTCCTTTTGAGTTTTCAAAAGTTATGTCAAACAAGCATTAAGCGTTATGGAATCATGTTCAAGAAGATGGTAAAACCTATTAGGTGACTAATCTTTGAATATTTGTGTCTATAAGTGACAACGGAGCTGAACAAAGCTCCATCTTGTTTACGAAGGGGTATTGTTTTTCAGATCACAAAACTACATCCACTGTTAATTTTACAATTAAACAAGATGTCAAGAACTGGAATTTGATATTTCTGGCCAGAAAACAAACCCTTTCATGCATCCGAATATACAGAGAAAAATGAATAGACAGATACTTGAACACTGTCTAGGGTCGAGTGATATGGCCCCCAAGATTCCGGCGATGTTTCCTCTTCAAACACGCGTCGAATCAAGACTCTTCAATCCGATTTCTTACATTATCCTAAAAATTCTTCATTTTTGAGCCGGCCAATGCACGATCTTCATTAGTAAACTGAACACGGAGATATATAAAACATGCAAAATTCATTTAGAAACAACACGTTTGCATATATATATATATAGGCAGGCCTGCACGTTTGGGATGTCTGTCTATTCCAATCAACTATCAATTTCTTTTTTACTATTTTGGGTTGCATTATTAGTTCTATCTACCAAATTAAACGAGTTTTTATAGAAAATATTAGTGTTTTAGGTACAAATGGGAATCCTTTCAAAAATGATAAGAGGCCAAATTGGGCAATTTTTAACATAGTTTTCTTTATATTCTACTTTTCTTTTTAAATTTTTTATAGCAATTTTTAATTAGTAATGCAAAAATATCCTGAACAAGTTTGAGTTATTGGCTCGTCCAATCCGATAACATTCATGAGTCGCTCGTTAAGCTGTGCCTCGGATATTGGATTGAGAACTACCGTTCACTCCC